CGTGGTCACTTCGAGCAAAACTGAACTACGAAAAAGCCAGTCTGGCAAAAGGACGAAGCGGAAGCCAAGGGTGTTATTTTCCCAAGTGAGTTCTTTTTAATAATCATTGAAAACTGTTTTCTAATACCGAATTTAATGATTCTCCATTCCATTAATGTCCGACACATTACACTCAGTCATTCCATAAATTATAAACGGCTATCAAAGGATATGATATTAAATATATTTATTATAAATAATTGTTATCTTCAAATTTCTTTACAGAATCAAGTGTATGAACTGGAGCAGCGATTTAAGCAGCAACGATATCTCAGCGCCCCGGAAAGGGAGTTACTCGCTCAAACCCTGAAGTTGACCAGCACCCAAGTAAAAATTTGGTTCCAGAACAGACGATACAAGAACAAACGCGCGAGTATGGAGGACGCCGAGAAACTACAAGCGCAGAATATAAAAAACCAAGCTTTAAAAAAGATTCACGTGCCTGTATTAATTAAGGGCGGGAAACCAAACATGCAAGAGCCGTACAACGTCTCTTGTTGGAGCAATGTCAGGCCAGACTTGAGCGCCTCGATGCAACCGGATTTCAGGATGAACGAAATTCGCCTGAGTCCCGAATTCAGGGCGACGAACATCGAAGTAAGCATCAGTCCCGTATTCAAACAAGAACCAAACTCTGATTTGAGTGATAAATCGAGTTTGAACGGCGGCCAGATACAAGTCAGACAGCATGCGATCGCTACCACGGACTTCAGAAACAATTTGGACCAACGAGCCAGTCTCCATGATTGCCACAAGCTAATGAGAGGAAATGCGAATAGCGGCGAAGTGGCACCGTTTCCGGATTTGAAGAACATCAACGCGGACACGAAACCTATGATTAGCGACGGGAGACCGCCGATGGACGTATCCAGCAGCGATTACGTGTTTCCGAATTACTACGGGCCGACAAATTATCAAATGCAGTATGCTAATTACATGGAACAGGAGCAACATTTGCAACGGTTATGGTAAATGCATTGTTTAGTTTATCGCAAATTGTGCTTCCGTGGGAGAGTGTTAAGTTAACAAGGCTATTATGAAATTGTGGATTATAAGGTTGCTGTTTTGTAGAAAAATTCGGTTTATGATTCGACTGTGTTCGAGTGAATTAAAATTAATATTCCTCTAAATTTATCTGCAACAAGTAGTCTAACGGCCTACACTATTAGGCTTTTATTACAAATTGCGCCAAAGTTTAACGTATAAACAATTCTAAAGCAATTTGTATTTAAGAGCATCAAGTATCGTTCGTATTCGTAATTACGTGGGAACGTTACCAAACAGGTAGCCAAAGAAAAACCGTCGTTAGTGCACATTTTAATCATCGGCGACGCGCGATAGTTACAAGTTCGAAGTATCGTAGTTAAATGTTAAGGCCTATCGGCAGCTGTGTTTCATTTTTTCTTCTCGTTCTCTTTTTAGTTAGCTAAGGTATCCCCTCTTCCTTTTTCTTTTCGAAATAGTAACGCGGCCGCTCAAGAGGGCCGAACGGAAATTGCTTCAAGTGGCTTTTGCGGAAACATCAGTTACCTACTTGCTCCGTATTCCGCAGAGTCCGTCTTTCTCGTGATTCTATTTTTTTTTCCTTACGATAATTGAGCAGGAAATTCGAGCGAACCGATGCGATCTCTATTACGAATAATAACTGTACTTTTGTACCAATGTTCGCATGACTGGTTACTGTTAGAAATAAGAATGGAGACAATAAATAAAGTATTATGCTTACCAAAAGAATGACTGAGTTGTGAAATTTTTTCATTCTGCCGATAATTTTAAGTGATCCCCCTTTTCTCAAGAACTTCTCTTTTTAATAATAATTTGCAAAAATTAGATATTCTTCGAACTGGCTTTTAGAATTCTCTTATCTTCTCCCTAATTCTACAATTTGCATAATTTCCACGTTCCGATGAGAGTCCAGGCCGGTGAAGCGAAAATATGGCGAAAGGGTATTTATAAATAGGTGAGTTCTGACAGCTTCTGAGCGAAGCCATGGGTGAGGAGCCCCTTTTAGGTTATCGCGCGAGCACGACGGGTCATCTGGCAGTCAAGTGCCTTCATATAGCCTGATACAAACGTGCGTCGGCGTAATCGTCGTTCGTGGGTGCTACCGCCGTCATAAAGGACCATGGGAACAAGCTGATAAAAATATGTCGCTGCCGATATCGCGCGGGGTACCCGAGAGTTCGCGTGGCGTTTCCCATCTGCGTTTCCCGTCCTCTCACCTACCACTAAGATTGAACAGGGATGCACCTGCATGCACCTGACTCCACTTGTTCGTCGAAATCATTTTCCTGGATGCGTTCCAGACTCCGATCTGATAAACTAGTAGCTTGCTTGTTAAACCCGGTAGAAGAACTCTTCGATAAACCTGGCGAAGATTCTAATCCTTTCTTTTCGCTATGCCAATATTGCATTCAATGGAGCAATTTAATATTAATAGAGTTCTGATAAACCAGGCA